TCTTCTCCTCGGCCTGGTTTGCTCTGCCCAAGAAGAGGAAGCTGAGCAAAGTGCCTCAGAGGTACCAGGGATGGTCTGATCTGGGAGGAGGCCATGTGTGTGTGTGTGTGTGTGTGTGTGTGTGTGTTCATTTTGTGGTTTTGTTATGTGCACCCAAGCTGTGTCTTTCAACACTGCTCCATTTCCTGGCTCAACACCTGTTCTCTTCCATCTCTATATCATCTCTATCATGTACTCGTTGGCTATTAGGCATTTTTTTCTGCTCTTGTAACAGAGGAATGGGGTCAGCACACCAGCTGTTGGGTTGGGTTTCTAGTATGTGATGTCAGAGACCAAGCTGTCCAGAAATGCATGCATTGCTTCTTTGACTCCGACTTCAGCTTCACATTATTTTTATCAATCGTGCTTTGTTCGGTCAAGTTAGATAATGTGTGCTAATCTGCGGAAGGGATGGGGAACCCATGAGCTATGGTGCTGCGTGAAACAAAAAGACAAGGATGAAAATTTCTAAGGTGACCTTTGCTGTCAGCTTTCAGGACAATGGAGAACGGTGTATTTTGCATCCAGTGCTACTGAGAAGACCAACTATGACGGGCTATTGAGACTTTACATCTGTAAACTTGTGTTCAATGACGAAGAAGGCACAGTAGACGTCTACCTTTGTGTTGAGTAAGTAAAAATCACCCAAAGGAAAACACCTATAAAGCCCGAGCATGAAAGGAGGAGGTCTTCCCCGTCTGCAGGGAGCTCTCTGGGTGATGTGGAGAGCAGGACACCCTGAGCTTTGGGGCTGAGCAGGCTCTCTGAGCTCAGGGGGCAGTTCCCCTGTGAGCCTCCAGGGAAGGTCCTGGAGCCTTTTCTTATGGGGGATGGTTCCCAGAAGCCCCACTGGCATCAACTCATTAATGGAAAGAGGGACATAGAGAGGAAGGAAGAGGGTGTGTCCTGGAACCCACAGTCCCCACCAGAGCCTTGACCACTTCTTGCAGAATTTATAAAGAGACGGTTCCCACTGAGCCCAGATGTGAGGGCGGGGCAGAGCACACAGTGAGATCTGCCCTCAGGGCTTCCTCATGGGAGGTTTCATCCCCACTGACTTTACTAAAGACTCACAGCCCCAAGGACCACTCAGGGAATGCCCACTACACTGCAGAAGGTTTACTAAGAACATGCAGACTCGGGTATGTGTATGGAGGAACAAAAACACTAAAAAAAAAAAAAAAAAAAAGTTAAGAGGTTTTTGCTTGGAGAGATTCATTTATAAATAAATGTATAAGTTTTTGTGTTATTTATTGTAGATGTATAAGTTTGATAGCATACTTACAATCAAATGACAACCACACATATAGACAGAGACTCACAAACACTTTCGTGCATATCCTATCCCAGGATATTTTTGGTCCATTGTCATTAATTTTTTACAAATACCATATTATCTTCCTCTCTGCTGTTTTTACAGTTTTTTAGCTCTGTGTTTGAATTAGGAGTACACCCAAGTGTATTCATGTGTAATTATATGCACCTTTATGGAGGGCATAGTTTAATGTGCCTTGAGAAGTGCACACCTTTTTCATGACCTGGACAGTCCAGATCTCAAATTCCTCCATTTCTTTAAAAAATCTCCATTTCTTCACCATGAAATTCTACCCTTAGAGCTACAGGTAGCAATGGATCTCCTTATTCTCTCCTCTTCTAGAGCTTCGGACAGTAAGAGTCCTGGTTGACTTTCCCAGCCTCTGTCCCCCACCCAGCATACTGTTGTGAGAATGTGTCTCTGTGTGTGCATATGCAGGGAGTCACCTTTTTCAAGTCAAGTGAAAGGACATCGTTTGCACATATGCACTTTTGTACGTGCTGTGTCTGCTCAGTCGGTTCAGTCACGCCCGACTCTCTGTGACCCCAGGGACTGTAGCCCGCCAGGCTCCTCCGTCCATGGGATTCTCCAGGCAAGAATCCCGGAGTGGGTTGCCATGCCCTCCTCCAGGGCATCTTCCCAACTCAGGGATGGAGCCACGTCTCTTGCAGTGGCAGGAGGGTTCTTTACCCCTGAGCCAGTGGGGAATATTTTACCGCTCTTGGAAAGTGATTTTGTTCCCACTTTGTGGTTATTTTGAGTAACTTCAACGTATTTTCATAATGACTAATCACCACGAATGCAATTCATGGTGCACATTCTTTTCCATGTTGCCTGTTCAAAACTTCATCCAATTCTTGTTGAGTTATTTCCCTTTTACTATTTCTTTCTTCTGCAAGCTTCTTATGGGCCAAATATACATTTTTTCACACAGGACATATATGAAGTCAACGAAAGTCCTCATAATTGCTGACAGCTTAGCCCAATTCCCTTCTGTCAGATAAGCATATCATGTGTACTTCTGTCGGCTTGTGTGTGTTTGTGTCAATATATGTACATACATACACATGTCTTTCAGTGTTTAATCCTCTTAAGATGTTGTGATGGAAAATGTGTGTGTCTTGATAAATGAAGCGTTTCCTTCTCTAATTTTTAGTGATTTTTTTTCCTATCATGTAATCTAACAAATCATTGACAGGGTTGTGAGAATCCCCAGAGTCTGTCCATCTCTCTATTTCTGGGAAGTATTTGTTAGAAAGTTGTATTGCTTTTATTCTTTCCTAAACTCTACATTTCTCCAAGTTTTATTTGGCTTTCAGCATGACTTGCCTTGTATTTGCATTTTTTTTCCTTGCAATTTTATTTGTATTTTATTTTTGCAACTGCTACTCAGATTTAACGTGTAGACAAGCCATCCTTATCCGTGCATAATGACCTGATCTTAGAAAACATATTCTCTTTGGAACATCACATTGTTCACAGCCACTAAGGTGAAACCTCAGACTTAATCTTTGGGTGAAACAAAGAAAATCCTCATTGTCTGTCACATTTTTTCTTTTTTTGAATCAACCCCCTTGAATCTGTTTTTAAGGTTGGATGGAAAATGGGAAAAAGTAAAAGTCACGGGGAAAAAGGAAGATGATAACACTTATGTTTTTGAGTGTAAGTATGAGGGTTTCACTGAACAGAGTGTGTTTGGGTGGAAGTCTTGGCACAGCTTCCTTCAGTGACCGCGCGGGTCTGAATTCTACTCCTACCAACAATCAGAGGGGTGAGCAGGCTGCATTCCCTAAGATCTCCAAGCACTTCACTTTGTCATGAGACAAGGGTTCAAACACACGGCTTGGAGGTCTCCTCCCAACTATGAGTGTTGCTCAGTGAGACGGAGGACCCTGGTGAGCTACAGCCCATGGCGTCACAAAGAGACAGACATGACCGAGTAAGCATGCATGCACTCGTGAGAACAGCATATGTAAAAGTGTATTTCATATGGTTCTCAGAGATAATTTACAGCAGCCTTACGAACCGACTTCTCAAGCGTGTATCCTGAGTTTGCACATCAGTGCATTCACTTTTTAAAAGCAACCTTAAAATATCTTATTCCATACAAGGTGTGGTGGGTGAAATTAAACGCCAAGAAATCATTCTAAGTTCAACAGTAAAAGCAGCTTCTGTTCAAAGCCATGGGAATGCTGCCTAAAGTTTAATCCTGGAATTCTTTACATTGACCCTAAACAACTTTCCTAATCTTACACGGCCTAAGGGGTATATATGTGACTACAGTTCAAGTGCATCAGGTCAACTTTCTGAGAAGATGGGAATAAAACTATCTTGCCTGCTCCCCTTGCTGTCGTAACAGTGGCAGCATTCACCCCGCCCATGGAGTGAGACACAGATTAGTACAGAATGTACCCTTGCTAATACCCTCATTGTCCAAAGTAAAGCTATCTGGCAATGAATTAAGGCAGAGTTGAACATGTCCATCTTTTCTCTCTCACAAATGAGGGTACCAAAAGATTGAAAGTTGCTTATGCGTCCGGCACGGTTCTGGTATTCTGTGTTTTCAGCGTGGATGAAACCGGTGTGGAGACACCGTGTGCTGTAATACTGGCTGGTATGTATGATCCCCTCATATTCACATCAACACTGTGATGAAACGTTTCCATGGCCAGTACTTTATCCATGAAAGAAGGGTGTGGCGACAATATCCATTCTGCAGTCTACAGGACCTAGGTCTTTATGTTCAGTGAGTTAAGAATCCTAGAATGAAATCTACCAAGAAAGCGGAGTTAGTAGGGGTGGGGAGATCGGATCCTCAGACATTTCTAAATAATTCTTATGTGTTCTCATTAAAAATATTAAAAAAAAAAACCCTGAATTCTACTAGAAATACTTTTACCTTATCTTTTCAGTTTTCATTGGAGGGAAATCAGAATACTTTGTTGTTTTCTATTTTTTTTTTAACACATCAATTCATTTCAAGCCATAGCTATAAGGAGTCTAATCTCGATTTCATCATCGTTTAGCAGTATCCCAGTGCACTCTAAGCTCTGGAACAGAAACTTTTAAAATAACTCTGTATCCTCTTCAATTTTTCAAATGCATTGTTCCTAGATACAGTGATATGTGCCCAAATACCCACACAGAATCCCTGAGAGGTGTGAAAACCATTGAAACAACCTGTGTCTATTGCAGGAAAGCTACTAGTTAGAACAGTGGGTTAATTAAAGGGTAGATCATCTCCCATTACTCTGTCTGACCTGTGAGTGTGTATCTGTCAGGGGAGAATCCTGTTTCCTGTGTATTTTGGTCAGAACAAGACCTGCATGGCAGGTACAGATTCTAGGACTTTGGTCAAGGATCAGGGCAGTTCCATAGAGTGACGGATGATCCCCAAATTCACCGAGCTCTCGCAAGTCTCTGGGGTCCTGCTGCTGAGGATGGGGAGGGGTTTTGGTTACAGAGCTGGATGGGGATTCATTCTTAAGACAGCGAGGAGACACGTGAGTCATGGGAAATTGTAATTGTTTGAGGCCTAATTTATGTCAAGTGAAGATTTCACTTGGACACTCAAGTTCGTGTTTTGTATTCAGAAATTTCTCTGGGTTTAAGAAGCAAAATTCTGCTTTCTGATGGTGTTTTTCAGTTAAAGTAAATATTGAAGATGAAGCCTTGGCAAGATTCAAAGAGCTGGTAGAAAAGAAAAAGATTGAAGAGAAATATATTGTGAATTTCCTCGAAAGTGGTAATGGGACTATATGTTTTCATAATATATCCTATCAGGAAACAAATCAATTTATTTAAAATTTCTTTCTCCATCGATAATCTATAAAATATATTACTGTAAAAAATAAAAAAGAAAGCATCACCTCGCAAATGGTAAGGAATGGTCGTAATCAGTGGATATTTTATTCCTGTCCTTTAATGTTCCCCCAGATGACTGTCCTCCCTGCGGACAACAAGGCTAGAGACAACCTCAGTGTAAGTGAAAATAGACTGTTATTACTGTTGCTCCATAAAATGAATGAAAAGGGAAATATGGTGGTTTCACACTGGGCAAGTTTCTTAGGTAATGTTTTCTTGTCCTAACAACTTACATTTTATCAGCAGAGAACTTAATTAGTAACAAGACCTAATTTCTTTTCTCTTGAGCCATATTAAACTGCAAATGGGTTGGTTAATTAACGCTGAGCAGCTTGGGTGAGAAAAGCTTATCCTGCAGGCATCTTGCAGACCAGAGCCATCAGAGAGAAGCAGGAATGGCCACAAGTTCGTGTAAACCAATTAAGTGTTCCCGTCAGTGGTGACCTCATGCTTCTCCACACACATCCCTCCTCCACCTGAAACGGGATTAAACAGAGCTCACATTTTGTGCAAGACCAGTGTTTAATCTCTCAAGATTATGACAGAACCAGTACTGGCCTTCCAACCACACAGCCTGACACATGCATTTGGTTTACAGTCCTACTCAGAAGAACATCTGTGTAAAGTGTGATCTTCAAACTTTCTACAGTAATACAGCCTCAGAAAATGACAACGATTAAGGCTAAAGTGTGGGTGTTAATTTTCTGTTGAGAAAAAAAAAAACACATTAGCTTCTAGGTCAATATGATAAGAAAGATGCAGTGCATATATTTAATGGAATATTACTCCACCATAAAAAAGCATGTAACCATGCCATTTGCAGCAACCTGGATGGACTTGTTGATTGTCATACTGAGTGACTCCCACCCACACGACTGAGATGTGGAGCGGTGAGGTCCACCGGGATTCTGACATTGGATCAGCTACCAGCCCCTGTTCCCTGCACAGCCTACTGCCTGAGCCTCACCCCTGTCAGCCGTGACACGGTCCACTCTACTAAACCTTTGTTCCTGTTTTATTCATCTACAGGAAGAGTTACTGGGCAACCCCATGGAATTACATCAACAACATAAAGACGACTTTCCTGGTTCCTGATCAACATGATCCATCTTTCTTCACACTCACACTCCCTCTCCCATCTCATCTCTCCTGGTCGCTAATCACATCTCATCTGGTGCATTTGATTTCTGAGGGTTTAAATAAATTGCTTTAGTATACAGCCGAGTTATGTGTATGGGTGCTGAATGTCCCTGTTTTAAAAGACATGATTATACAGATTCAATTTAATTATTCAGAAACTGTGCCTTTAATAGGATCAGTGTTCCATCAGAAGGTTTCTGAGAAAGATTAAAAGGAGACGTCCTAGAGATTTGCAGAGGAGAAAGTGCAAAAGGACTAAATTTTCACAGGGCCGGGGAAAAGGTTCTGGGTCACCTTACTGTAGGGGACGAGGCAGTTTGGTCAAGAAAGATGTCCCTAGAAAGCATCACAGTCATTACAAAGAAAGGAGCTTATGTTCCACTCTCTGAGCCTCATAGAGAGAAAGAGTAAGATGCCAGTGGCCACACAGGAAAATTCCATATTCTGACAGCACCAGCACTTCTACAAGTGTGTTGAAGCACTGATATTTCTTAATGATTGGACCTCTAGGAATGAAAGTTGCATAGCAGCTGTGTAATGATTTAGACCTCAGTTGGGTCCTTTTCTTTGATTCCATGGACTGTAGCCCACCAGGCTCCTCTGTTCATGGGATTCTCTAGTCAAGAATGCTGGAGTGGGTTGCCATTCCCTTCTCCAGGGGACCTTCCCAAGCCAGGGATCAAAAGTTTCTTTCCTGACTGAGCCACGGGTGAACCCTGGGTCAGTTCATAGGATCATGAGGTCAGTACAGTGTTTGCAGGAACAAGATGATTGACAGCTCAGTTAGGAAGCTGTCACTGTTCACAGAATCTAAAGATGGTCTTCAGACCTCATAATCTGCAAAGAGCAGAGGATGCTAGTACTTCCAAGGACTGGATATTCCCATCATCCTGGGGAGAGCACACAGCCCATCTCCCCATGGTGCTCAGGTGCTTACAATCTGAAAGATCAACCATCCTAGATACAGAACATTCCAAGGGTTGAGTCAAAGCTCAGAGATTTGGTCCAAGAGCTGGGAAAGGAATACTAGACCTAAGTGACTTGTAACTGAACAAATGTTTTAGTTCCTACGTGGACTTGGCCTCCAAATGGACTATAGTTGGCCAATGTCAAAGGCACCAGTAATGAATGCTTCCATGGCTTAGTTTGTAGTAACAAGGTCCCGGACAGTGTTTAAGTTCTCCCACTTGTATAGCAGAGTGTATCCTGTTGGACTTTGGATGCTAGCCTTCACAGGTGGTCTGGAAATGCTGGATTCTATGAGTGGATACACACATAGGCAAATGAATACAGAGTAAGGGGGTGAGTCTCTTAAGAAATGTTGAAAGGCAAGACCTGGTATAATATAGATGGTTTTATGTATATGTATCTATATCTATATCTATATACACACACACACATATAAATATAAATGTGTGAATGTATGTATCTGTGGTGTCAGTAATAATATGGGAAAACCAATCATCACCACAAATCCAATGGATACCAGTCATGAGGAAACTATGAACAGATTTATGTTACTGGAAGTAATGCTCCTGATGAAATGCACACATTACTTGAAAGATGTGTTACTAATCCTGATATAGGCAAAAACAAAAACAAAAACAAAAACAAAAACAAAACCTTTTACTGTCCTTTAATGCAGAAAAGAAATTGAGTAGAATGTTCGATAAATTTGCAGGGCAAGAAGATTTAATTGAAATATTTAAGAAGAAAGAAGAAATATTACTAAACTTACAGAAAGCCACCCATAGACTCATGATAATCTGAGTTCATATTAAAGTACTGTCCACTCTAATTTCGAGAGGGTAACAGGTAGGAAGGCCAGGGGTCTCCAAATGGAGGAAATAGGTTGCAAGTGTCAGACATTTCTCTCTCTCTTAAGCGGTAGGAGGACATTTTTTTCCTTCTCTATACAAATTTAAAAAGGAGGTTTCTCTTAAAATACCGTGTTGCCACAATGACACCTGGTTTCACTTGAAGTTAACTGTTCTCAAACCTTGAGTTAACCAATGCATTTTTCTTATGGAAATGTTTGTCTTAAGCTATGTTAATGTAGTATGCATTTACCCCAGACTCTGTCTTCAAGTTGGGTCTGGGTTCTGCACAAGGCTCAGAACCTACTTGACAAACCAATATGTTATATTCAGATATTGTTCCCCTAATCTATGTAAACAAAACTATTTGCATGGTAATCTGCCCTTCTACAAGATTCAAGTCAATTGTTTTATGGCCTGGGATGAATCATCTGGTGCCAAGTTTATCCCAAAATGCATCTTATGGATGAGGGGCCTGGTGCCATTCTGAGTTTTAAGACATTCCTTTCTTTCATTAACAGACTGCTAGTGACTATATAACATCCACCTGAAGACTAGCAGCGGGGTACTCTTTCTGCCCCATTCTGATACCTGCACCAGAAACTTTCTCTATCTCCTTTATACTTTAATAAAACTTTATTCCACAAAAGCTCTGAGCGATCAAGCCTCATCTCTGGCCCTGAGTTGAATTCTTCTCTGGAGGCCAAGAATCCCAGCGTCTTTTCGTTCACCAACAACTTTTCAATTTGATCCTGAATCCTCTAGACACAATTAGGGACTTCTGACAGATTTTGTTAAATTCTATATACTCAGAGACAACATTAATTCTAAACTGTACATGCACCCCAGTATGTAGCAGCCCTATTTACAGCAACCAGGACATGGAAGCAACATAAATGTTCACCAGCAGAGGAAAGGATAAAGACATGCTTGTTGTTATTTAGTCGTAAATTATGGCCAACTCTGTGCCACCCCGTGGACAATAGCTCTCCAGGCTCTTATGTTCATGGGATTTCCCAGGCGACAATAGTCAATATACACAAAGGAATACTACGCAGCTATTTGCAGAGCTGTGGATGCACCTACAGAGTGTCATAGAGTGTGAAGTCGGCCAGAAAGTGAAAAACAAATAGAGTATATTAACTCATAAGTGTGTGCAGTCTATGAACAGGAAAGCAGTACAGATGAACCTAGCTCCAGGGCAGAAGGAGAGACAGAGACAGACAGCCCAAAATACGGACACCAAGGAGGAAACGGGCGGGGTGGTGGTGGAGGATTTGCAAGATTGGGGCCGACGCTTATACATTGTTGATGCTGTGTATGAAATAAACCTAATGAGGACTTACTGCACAGCACACGGATATCTACTCAATGCTCTGTGGTGACATGAATAGGAAAGAAATCCAGAACAGAGGGGATACATGTGCACGTCCAGCTGATTCACCTTGCCCACGGGCAGAAGCTAAGACAACACCGGAAAGCAACTCTATTCCAACAGAGACGTTATAACAGTTCCACATTTGTCATTAACAGACAAACATACGAACACGCTGAAGGGTAGTTTTTGTTTTGCACATGCATGATAATTAAAATATAAAGAGAATTACATTTCTGATTAGGTCCCAATATTTGTAGAGACTGTGTGAATTCATAGGGATCTAACTTAGGAATGCAATGTTTTGTATTTTCCACTACGAATGTGTCATAGCTGCTAGAACATCAAATTTATTTCTAAATGGTTTTGACACCACAATCAACAAACCAGTGAATGATTTTTATATATATCAATTGTTCTATAGTTGCTTTAAATGTAATGCCTTATGAAAGTGAGTGCCCTTCTAAGGATGTCTCATCTGGCTCGGTGGTTAGAATTCTGCCTTTGAGTGTGCAGGTTCCATTTCTAGTTGGTGAGCTAAGACCCCAC